CCCAAAACACATTCACTTGCGCCAAGGTCTTCTAATACTCAAAGCCACAGTCAGACTCGGATCACAGCTACACTCATTTTCAGTGACTAACTGAAGATTGTTAGTAACACATACTCCCCCTATCAGTTAACCATAAACCTAACCCCAAATGTCCACGGACTCCACCTCCAACCCACCTGTCAGATAGAAGATTTAAAACCTCATATCTTTGACTACTTGATTGTATTCTTGAATCACATCCCAGCCGCAACTATCATTGATCCATGTGCACGTAGTTCAAATTTATCGCTCTCCTTCAGAATATCTCACCCAAAAAAAAGACACTAACTTACCATCGCCTCATACCTACACCCTTTTCCCTACATCCCAAATTATTTGACCTAGTCCTCTTTCAAATTTAAAAAGAGCAGTCATTTAAAAAAATACCGGGATGATCGTTGAAGTTTCTCACAAAAACTACAAGACAAAGTTACACAGGAATACTCGCAGCATTATGGTTTCACAGCAGGTTCCCCCCCACCCCATATTTAAGCATTTTAATTTCGTACAATGACTAACCCTTTGCTACGGTACCTACTTTCAGTTTCTTGTTGAGTTTGCAGCAATATCGATACAGTTGGGCCAAGTTGAGTGGTCCGAAATCTGCATAGAAGCTGAAAAATACCCGTAATTAATTCACTGGCGCGCGGTTACGGTACAGCAAAAAAAATTCCAATTAGTTTCTAGTACAATACGATATTTCGAAGCACATCGTCTACTGCAGCCAACCGGTTAAAAAAAAAATCAATCGCATCCACTGACGTTTCTGAATATAATTAAGATCAAAATATCAAATCAGATTAGTTTAAGTTGTGTTCCTGACTTCCTTTATGCCCATTAACCGTACACTAGTTCCCTGCAAGAAACTTTTTACTCCCCCACCTATATAACTAGAAACTTACTTTTCGTAAACCAGCTCCTCATCAATGCAGAAGTAATGCGTATTGACTGTACTTTTCGGCTTGTTTCTCAGAGTTGCGAAGTACAAACGATCTAAAATGAAAATAAGAAATTTGAAGCGGGGGTGGGGGTGGAGAACGGCGAAAGAAAAAGGAATAAAATCAATGTCAACAGCATTCCGCGCTGGGAACAGACAGTTCAATATACAGACGCACACTCGCAATCCGAGACCTTAACTCCGATATTTACCTTTACTAAACTCAGAAGCACCGATCAGCTCCTGCTCCTCGGCCATTTTAATGGGGGGGGGGGGGGGGGGGGTTACCGAGGCGCTGCGCGTGCACTAGATAAGGGGGTCAAGTGGACAAGGCGCGCGCCTTGTCAATACTGGGGGTGGTCAGTGGGCGCGCGCTCAGGACGGTTCCAATTTCAAATTTTCGGAAGCGAGAACCACGGACCCCAGGCAGGCAGCGCTGCCTCTGTGGTCCGGGACTTCTTCCGAGCCAGAGGGGAAAGTAGTCCCTTGCGCTTGTCCAGTGGCCGACGCCTGGAACTCTTCCCGTCAGCTCAGGCCACTCCGCGCGTCGCGGTGCCCGCAAGCACAAGTCAACAACAGCAGCAAAGTCACATGCCAACTGCCTGTCGTTACCATGGCAGTCACTCGGCCAATCGTCGGATCGGAGAACTTCCCAGAGTGGGCAGAGCAACGCTGACCGCTAGCGCTGCTCTACCGGCAGGGAGCGCCGCGGGAGAAGCCGCCTTTCCTCAGCTTGCAGTTTACAGTGAGTCCGCTTTAAGAAACAAGGTTACACACTGGCCTCAAACTAGCTACCAAACTAATAATAACTAACTTCTCAACATAGGGAAACTTCTCGGGATTAGTTGCTTACAAGTCCATCTTTGAAAGTGCATCTAGAAATCTAGAGGCCAAGGAGATCAAACATTCACCAAGGATTTTAATTGTTCTTTGGGGTCCACAAAAGGGTCAGAGTTTTTACAGCACCGGTTATGAAACATCTCTATCTGTATTCCAGCACTTGGCCCTTAGCTTTGTAGCGTTTCAAGTACTCATCTAAATAGCTCTTAAATGTCTTGAGGGTTTCCAACTCTACCTCCATTTTAGGCAGTTCTAGATACCCACCACTCTGAGTAAAAACGTTTTTCCTCAAATCCCCTTTAAACCTTGCCTTAAAACTGTGACCTCTAATTATTGACCCATCTACTAAAGGGAACAATTTCCCCTTTTATACCTCTCAGCCTTTTCTAATGTCCTTCAGAGGAAGAATTTTGCTGTCTTTCGGTGTTGTGGTCTATGTGTGCGTCCAGACCACAACAGTATGATTGACTTTTAAGTTCCCTTTCAAGTGGCCTAAGAAGCCGCTCAGTTCAAAAAGTGCTATTAGAAGGCTTAATAAGAATAATATTGACAAAAGCATTGGAAACAACAAAAGCACACCCTGCCTTGTTGATCACGAAAATTATTCCTCACTAACATCTGGGGACTGATGGCAAAATTGAAAGGGCTGGCAAGTTAAGTAGTGGTTTGATAAATTCAAATTTAACAAGTCATATCTTGGAGCCAATGTCCTCTATCACCATTTCCGAGCATGCCCTGCCCAGAGGTATCAAAGATGGTGAGACAGTGATAAACAATGAGGTGGGAGTGACTCTGAAAGTCCACAACATTGATTCCAGGGCAGAGGAGCGATGGCCTAGTGGTATTATCTCCAGACTTTTAATGTTTCAAATAGTGTTCTGGTGACTAGGGTTTGAATCCTGCCATAGCAGATGATGGAATTTGAATTTAGTAAAAACATAGATTTAAGAGTCCAATGATGACCATGAAACCATTGTAGATTGTCATGAAAAACCCATCTGGATCACTAGTATCCCTTTAGGGAAGGAAACTGCCATCCTTATCTGGCCTACATGCGACTCCATACCCATAGCAATGTGGTTGACTCTTAGTTGCCCTCAGTCAATTGGGGATGGGCAATAAATGCTGGCCTAGCTAATAATGCCATCATCCTGTGAATGAGCCTTACTGACTGATCCTGAAGAAGATAGTGGCCTGCAGCAAGGAATGGGAGGAACAACAAGAGTGGACAAGCTACGTGACTTTGGCTTCACCAATCTTTTTTCTCTTTTTTTTTGCGGGATGTGGGTGTCACTGGCTAGCCAGCATTTTTTGCCCATCCCTAGTTGCCCTTGAGAAGGTGGTGGTGGCTGCCTTCTTGAACCACTGCAGTCCACTTGCTATGGGTTGACCCACAATGCCATTAGGGAGGGAATTCAACACATTTTAACCCAGCGACAGTGAAGGAACAGCGATATATTTCCAATTCAGGATGGTGAGTGGCTTGGAGGGGAACTTGAAGGTGGTGGTGTTCCCATATATCTGCTGCCCTTGCTCTTCTAGATGGAAGTGGTTGTGGGTTTGGACGATACTGCCTGAGGATCTTTGGTGAATTTCTGCAGTGCATCTTGTAGATAGTACACACTGCTGCTACTGAGCATTGGTAGTGGAGGGAGTGAATGTTTATGGATGTAGTGCCAATCAAGCGGGCTGCTTTGTCCTGGATGGTGTCAAGCTTCTTGAGTGTTGTTAGGGCTGCAGTCATCCAGGCAAGTGGGGAGTATTCCATCACACTCCTGACTTGTCCCTTGTAGGTGGTGGACAGGCTTTGAGGAGTCAGGAGGTGAGTTACTCGCTGCAGTATTCCTAGTTTCAGGCTTGCTGTGTAGCCAATATGTTTATGTGGTGAATCCAGTTTAGTTTCTGGTCAATGATAACCCCCAGGATGTTGATAGTGGAGGATTCAGTGATGGTAATACCATTGAATGTCAAGGGATGGCAGTTAGATTGTCTCTTATTGGTGATGGTCACAGCCTGGCATTTGTGTGACGAGAATGTTGCTTGCCACTTTTCAGCCCAAGCCTGGATATTGTCCAGACCTTGTTGCATTTGCACATGGACTCAGTATCTGAGGAGTTGCGAATGGTGCTGACCATTGTGCAATCATTGGCGAATGTCCCCACTTCTGACCTTATGATGGAGGGAACATCATTGATGAAGCAACTGAAGATGGTTGGGCTGAGGACACTACCCTGAGGAACTGCTGCAGAGATGTCCTGGAGCTGAGATGATTGACCTCCAACAACCATGACCATCTTTCTATGTGTCAGATATGACTGCAACCACTGGAGAGTTTGCCCCCGATACCCATTGATTGCAGTTTTGCTAGGCCTCCTTGATGTTACACTCGGTCAAATGCAGCCTAGATGTCATGGGCTGTCACTCTCATCTCACCTCTGGAATTCAACTCTTTGCCCACATTTGAACCAAGGCTGTAATGAGATCAGGAGCTGAGTAGCCCTGTTGGAAACCAAACTGGGCATCACTGAGCAGGTTATTGCTGAGCAGATGCTGCTTGATGGTCCTGATGATGACACCTTCCATCACTTTACTGATGATTGAGACTGATGGGGCGGTAATTGCTCTGGTTGGATTTGTCCTGATTTTTGTGTACAGGACATACTTGGGCAATTTTCCACATTGCTGGGTAGATACCAATGTTGTAACTGTACTGGAACAGCTTGGCTAGGGGAGTGGCAAGTTCTGGAGCACAAGTCTTCAGTATTATTGCCGGGATGTTGTCAAGGCCTGTAGCTTCTGCAGCATCCAGTGTCTCCACCTGTTTCTTGATATCACATGGAATGAATCGAATTGGCTGAAGACTGGTATCTGTAATGCTGGGGACCACTAGAAGAGGCTGAGATGGTCATCCACTTGGCACTTCTGGCTGAAGATTGCTGCAAATGCTTCAGCCTTATCTTTTGCACTGATGCGCTGGGCTCTTTCATCATTGAGAATGGGGATATTTGTGGAGCCGCCTCCTCCAGTCAGTTGTTTAATTGTCCACAACCATTTACGACTGGATGTGGCAGGACCGCAAAGCTTAGATCTGATCCGTTGGTTGTGAGCTCACTTAGCTCTGTCTGTCACTTGCTGCTTTCGCTGTTTGGCGTGCAAGAAGTCCTGTTTGGTGACTTCACCAGATTGATACCTCATCTTCGGGTATGCCTGGTGCTGCTCCTGGCATGCCCTCCTGCAGTCTCCATTGGTCCAGGGTTGATCCTCTAATGATAATGGTTGATAATGGTTAAATGGGGGATTAGCTGGGCCATGAGGTTACAGATTGTGAAGGTGGGACTTTGTCTCTACAAGGACTGTGCGATGGTCACTCTTACTGATACTGTCATGACAGATGCAACTGCAGCTGGCAGATTGTTAAGGATGAGGTCAAGTATGCTTTCCCCTCTTGTTGGTTCCCTCACCACCTGCTGCAGACCCAGTCTAGCAGCTACGTCCTTTTGGACCTGACCAGCTTCATCTGTAGTACTGCTGCCGAGCCACTCTTGGTGGTGGAAAGTGAAATTCCCCACCCAGAATAAATTTTGTGCCCTTGCCAGCCTCACTGCTTCCTCCAAGTGTTGCTCAAAATGGACGAGTACTGATTCATCAACTGAGGGAGGACAGTACGTGGTGAACAGCCGGAAGTTTCCTTGCCCATGTTTAACCTGAAGCCATGAGACTTCATGGGATCTGGAATCAATGTTGAAGACTCCCAGAGTAACTCCCTCTGGTCTGTATACCATAGTGCCACCACCTCTGCTGGGTCTGTCCTGCTGGTGGGACAGGACATATCCAGGAATGGTGATGGTGGTGTCTGGGACATTGTCTGTAAGGTGTGATTCTGTGAGTATGACTATGTCAGGCTGTTGCTTGACTAGTCTGTGAGACAGCTCTCCCAATTTTGGCACTAGCCCCACATGTTAGTGAGGAGGACTTTGCAGGGTCGACAGGGCTGTTTCCAGTGCCTAGGTTGATGCCAGGTGATCCACCTGGTTTCATTTCTTTGAGACTTTGCAGTGATTGGTACAACTGAATGGCTTGCTAGGCCCATTTCAGTGGGCAATTGAAAGTCAACCACATTGCTGTGGGTCTGGAGTCACATGTAGGCCAGACCAGGTGAAGGTGGCATATTTGCTTCCCTGAAGGACAATAGTGAACCAGATGGGTTTTTCCTGACAATCGGCAATGATTTCATGGTAATCAATAGATTCTTAATTCCAGATTTATTGTTATTGAATTCAAATTCCACCATCTGCTGTGGTGGGATTTGAACCCAGGTCCCCAGAACATTAGCTGGGTTCTGGATTAATAGTCTAGCGATAATACTACTAGGCCATCGCCTACCCCATCACTATCTTTCTGTCGCATATGTTGTAGCCGTTCAGCCTTATATTCACACTAAGTATGCTGTCCATTATGTAATATGGACCACTATCATGTTAAAACAAGAATAAATCTTGCACCTCAAAACTGAACATCCATGAGGCATTGTGAACCATCAACAGCTGCAGGATTATATTCAATTACAACCTGTAACCTCATGGCTGTATATTTTCACTCTAGCATTAACATCAGGGCAATAATGCTGGTTCAGGGGTATAAGATGTGGAGGCGCTGGTGTTGGACTGGGGTGGACAAGGTCAGAAGTCACATGACACCAGCTTATAGTCCA